GTAAATACACAGTTAAGTTGTGAAGATCGAGTTGACTGGAGTAGATAGTACACGTCTAGTTAACACTGGGGTAAATACACAGTTAAGTTGTGAAGATCGAGTTGACTGGAGTAGATAGTACACGTCTAGTTAACACTGGGGTAAATACACAGTTAGCAAGTAGGTTAGATGGATTACAAACACTGACAGTAACTACTGAACGGGTTCTAACAATGGCTGTTAAATCTGTGGGGCAGTAAAATGACCCTTTATCAGTAGAAGTATTTGTATCGTGTACTTATGGCAAAGCTACCGAGGCTTTATGCCGCTGTCCCTAGTTTTAAACTACTAACTAGAAGGAACGTAGCCAGTCAACACACCTTACTGACCATTACCCACGCTAAGGGATTAACTGCTAGTCTTAAAATGTAAACACAGCTTAAAGTACGGGATATTTTTAAAACAATGTGAATAACTACAACATGGGGGAAAAAATACCGAGAAAATGTTCATAAACTTCAGAGATAAAGTTAAAACTTACATTAATCCATGTTACATGTTATGATATTAATATAGGTTAAATTGACATTAAATTCAGAGTTTTGTGTATTTCCAACAGATTTACAGTGCTAAATACGTGAACAAGTTCTCCTCTGTTACATCCATGAAATGAAATTTCATTGCAAAAGAAAAGCTTGATAAAAAAATGTCAGTTTATCGTTACTTTGGATGGAATGATTTCTACAACACAAAAAACACTTTCAAGTAAGTTTTGGAGCCTTCAACGCAACAATCACTACGATAACAGCCTTCGAAGGTAAGCCTTTATGTAAAACGTAAAAAAACTTAATACGTGTTGGTACCCAAGGGAAATGTGTTGAAGCCAGCTTGACTCAGATATAATTCATTGTTTTGTATGGCATTATACTCTACCGGGTAAAAACTGCGTTATAAGATTTCACTCCCACTTATACACTGAAACTTAAAGCTTTTCTTTTTCAGAAGTCGTCAGTGACAAAAGGCATTATAGATCAAAAGTTTGGATCATAATAAAGTGAAGTATCTTAAAACGTTGAATCAGTAAATAAAACTT